GGAATTGCATCCCTCCACCATTTCTACAGCCCCATTTCTGGTGAGTGGGGGAGTTCTGCCCCATACGCTTCACTGGTGCCCTGACAAAGGTCACGGGGCGGGGGGGAGAGACTCAGACCCACACTCCTTAGGCTTTGCCTGTAGCTGTGCTTAACAGCCATTCTCAGAATTAAGTCTGAATCTGGGGCTGGTGTCCACCCTACAAGGGGTGTGGGTCTCTTGGTGAGGTTCGGAGATGCCAGGGGCATGATGAATGGATTGGAAAACCCGCCTTGGAGGGACAGACTCGGGGAGGTCCAAGCGTTTAGCCTCACACGGAGCAGGGTAAGCAGTCACCGGCCTAGTCAACAGGTTGGACCGCGAGCCAAGTCCAGGCCACCAGGTGTTTCTGAATAGGCCACAAAATCTTTGTCTTTACTTATTCGTTATTTATTGCTGGAAGACTTACCTGGTGCTGCTCAGGTCCTAATTTTTGTGCTTGTCCCTCGTCCGGGGCAGATCCAGGTTTGTCTGCCCCCTGCGCCCCCTAGCCAGAGTGAGGAATGCAGCAAATGGTGCATTTTCCCCTTGCTACCTGATGAAGAGGAACAGCCAGCAATGTTCCCGTACGAATTGTGGGGGGAGGAGTGCCCTTCCTAAAGGGTACCTGGGGGGTGGGAAGCGGGAGGCTCAGGGCTGGGGCAGTCCCATGGGGGGCAACCCCTTTCCCCTGCCTGGTGGCTGACTTTTTTGTACGGTTTTCTGAGAAGCAGTCCCATTCCAGACACATCCCATTTCCCTGGCACAACCCCTGACCTGGCTTTAAGTTATGATAAGAGGAAGCTGCCTACTGACCTTGGTGGTCCTAGCTCTCAGCATTTAGGAGGAGTCCTTGAACAGACAGACTCTCAAACTCTCTCAATTCATCGCCATGTGAAAAAGGGTTCCCTGGAGCCTGGGCCTTGATAAAAGTAATTGACTGCCCTTGGTCTAAGAGCCCCTACCTGGGGAATCAGAATTTGGCCACTGCCTTGTCAGTCTTGCGGACAAAGGTCTAAGAGATGCAGTGGCAGGAAGTTGGAGGTCGAGTTGGTCTGGGAAATAAAGCCCACGTTTGTAACAACGAGGGTCATTCGCCACTGGAACGAGCGCCCAAGGGTTGTGGCAGATGCTCTGTCACTGGCCGTTGTTCGGTCAATGGGGTTGGGCCTGGCTGTATCTCAGGCCAGGGCTGCTCTGCTGCATGTTGCAGCTGGTGCCCTGTCCAGCAGCTGGTGCTCTGGCCCCTGGCGTGAGCACGTCAGTTTCTTTCTGGGAGTGGATGGGCAGCGCTCAGGGCAGTGCCTTTGGAGAGCCCTGGGCTCCCAGGTTCCGACCCAGACAGCTGGTTTGGTCCAGATGTGATTGGGGCAGGAGTCCAAGCAGGGCCTTGTTGGCTCTGGACCGATGTTAAGGATCCCGAGGGGGAGCAGAAGTTGCTTCCCTGTGTCCTAAGCTGCCCCCTCTCTTCGCTGTTGCTTCTACCCCAGAGGTGGCTGAGTTTCCATGGTGGTACATCGGGGTAAAGGGCTTTTGGCTTGGCACTGCTGCCCTCAGTTGGCACTTGTGTGGGCTGCAGGGCAGGTCTGAGCTGGGACAGAGTCGTTAGGCTGCCTGGTGTGAGGTCACTAGAGCGGGGCCGAATGGAGCCCCAGAATGGAGCTTGTCAGGCTCCTCATGGCTTCCCCCCCCACTGCAGAGAGACGGAGGGTGTCCCCAGCACGGCCATCCGGGAGATCTCCCTGCTCAAGGAGCTGAACCACACCAACATCGTCAAGTAAGTGGGGGAGGGCGAGTTATTGACATCTCAGGAGGGTGGCTGGGCTGCTGGGATCCAGAGCCCCCACCCCCCCGGGGGGGGGGGGGGGGGGGCCAGCCACTTTAAACAGCAAATAACTTCGCATACTCTCCCGCCCTGATTGACCAGGGGGCAGGAGAGGGAGGGCAGGCCACAGGCTGGATCAAATGGCTTGGGGGCATGGGGCACAGAGTGCGAATGCCCCCAGCCCTCTAATCAGGGCAGAAGCCGTGACATCTTCTCCTTCCTCTCACCAGGCTGCTGGACGTGATCCACACCGAGAACAAGCTCTACCTGGTCTTCGAGTTCCTGCACCAGGACCTGAAGAAATTCATGGACTCGTCCTCCGTCAGCGGCATCCCTCTGCCCCTCATCAAGGTAACCAGCCTGGCCGGCACGCTGCTCACACACCCCCACCCCCGCGAGCCCAGTTCTCCTCTGACCTCCAGCCCTGTCTGCCTCCTGCTGCAGAGTTACCTCTTCCAGCTACTGCAGGGCCTGGCCTTCTGCCACTCCCACCGGGTGCTGCACCGCGACCTCAAGCCCCAGAACCTGCTCATCAATGCCGAGGGAGCCATCAAGCTGGCGGACTTCGGGCTGGCGCGGGCATTCGGCGTGCCAGTGCGGACCTACACCCACGAGGTGCATTGGAGGGCTCCTCTCCCTCCACCCATCTGCTGGGATCCGGGGGCTAGGCAGTGAGATGGGGGCCACCTCTCTGGGGTAGGTGCCTCTTGATGGGGCGGAGTATCCCTGTCCTCCCTGCACCAGGACCCCCCACTCCTGCTGAGAACGGCTGGGGGGTCCCCCCCCCTGCCGCA